GATGGGTTGTTTACACCTCTGGAGAAAGAAATTTTCTTAGTGCAGTGTGTACAGTGATCAAAGATACATCGTTGAAGCTAAGATAACTTAAGTAAACCCTTTCACTCACAAGGATATAGAAGTTATGAATTAAAACTTCAAATTAACTATCACATGGCTGATATAAAATGCTACAAACCTTTGCAGTAACATCACATAAGAGTGATTGCTGCTTGATAGGTAGCAGAGTAATTAAGAATAGGTCTTAAACATCGTCGTGAGAAAGAAAGTAGTACATTGATGTTTAGACATGGGGAGTGAAAGGGTTAAATTAAGCTGTCCTTTGAAATTTTAGAACGTTAGTGTTATGATGTGCTCCATTTTCTTACATTTAAGCATAGGTTGAGCAAAACATTGAAATAAGAATAAAATACACATACCCTTTTCAGTACTCTTTTGACACATTAGCATGTTATCGCTGAGTGTCCGGCTCTGGAATTATTTATATATTCCTTTTAAGCCTAGGCTATGAAGGGGGGGGGGGGGGTGGGGAAAGTCTTTGAATGAATATTTTAACTTTTTGATGGATTGATCTATAGGCACCAAATTGATCTGGAAATATTCGTTTGTGCCATTATCAATTTTTTGTGACATTTGCATGTCCATAGCAACCACATGAATCAAACTTGCATGTGTGCCGTTTTCTTTTATTTTCTTCCTGTACATTAAAGGTGCTTTTTTAAAGTATAATTCCTTCTTTCCAACAGTCTATATTTTACATTCCATTACACTGAATATGATCCAGGAAGGAGAAAATACATCATCAAAATCAGTACAGCTAGACTACAATTCATTGAAAGTATTGTTCCAGGGAAGGGGGTTCAATACCAAAATAATCACTGGTGTTATTACCATAAAGGCATGTAATGGCGTTACGGAGAAGTGCGCAGACAACATACATTTTACCGACGCTGCTAAGGCCTATCTTCAAATTCTTTTTATAGTCAAGAAATTTAAAAGAATTAATGACGTCACCGAATAACCATTCTACAGAAATCCGTAAAGCGCTCATAGCCTCGTTGTAATCCTGCATGAGGGGTGTAAGTGGGACACGACGGAACGGTGTTTGGAGATGAACTCGGAGAGGGTAGGCCAAATCTCCATAAATGCACATAGCTTGAGCTGCTGGATTATAGGCGTACTGTTGAAGGTCCCGCAGTAGTCCAGAATCATTTAACATCCCTGCGTCGTGTTTACGCCCCTCTAGAAACGAAATTAGAATCAAACATGAGAAGAGAATTTTTTTCGGGGGGGGGGGGGAGGTTATTTAAGTTTAAAACACTAACGTTTTATTACAAACTCACCAACTGGTCCAAATAGGTTGCCAATAAGTCCATTTGGTAGGGACAAGGATTGGAATTTTAATGCATGGACCCTCTTGTGGCCATTGTACACAATTCTCTGACGCTCATTTGGTCTTGAGATGGGTCGGACTGTTCCATCTACAAAACCGAAACAGTTGTCAAGGGGGCCTCCTTTTCCCGATATAGCTTCTGCATAACGCTGCAAAGCCCCAGGATTCAGAAGATCTCGATTCCATTGTGTTATACGGTGCCCATGAACATCATAAATATAGTCTATGACATCATTTGAGATCAGGCTTAAAACAGAAACCGGTCGGCCAAATCGCGGAATCAGATCACTGAGTCTGCATGGGTAGGCAACTCGTTTGAGGAGTATGCATAGGCCTTCCATGTCGTCGCAAATACTCCTCTGCTCGCATTTAAACACCGGTGGTAGTTGGAGGGCTGCAACAAGGCGAGGGAGATCGTGTTTCTCGACACGAAACTCTGCTTTGCACTCCGCGGAGTTCATAGAATCCAAATCAAACCGTTGATAGTTTTCATGGGGAAAATCTGGATTCTTTGAGATGAAACTATCGTAAAGTAGCAAAAACTCTTCATCGGAAATAATTTCATCGCCGTAGAGAAGTACAAGGAGGTCACGAAATTCTTTGAAAGACATTTTCCCTGGTGACTTTCACTGTAGGAAGACTCGTCCACGTACCGTAACCGGTTTGCTAAATGTTTTTGTTTCCCGCCGAAATACCGCCGTGGACGACGTTCTCGTTCCAGGCCCCAATCGGTCATACCAGTCCTCGTCCTCGTTCTCGTCTTCATTGCTAAAGGTCGCTAATAAGTGTGAACTGAACGTTTTCTCGGAATTAACTTAGCTTCTAGTGCGAAGCCAAAAATTGATTTCAATTTTTGCCGTTCTCGTTGCCGGCTGCCTTTCAGCATTACACCATTATTTTTTTGGTTTGAGTAAACTATAAGTATAGTGCGAGAGCATCGCTTTTAGAAGTGGTCTATTATCAATGCTGCGTTCTGATTGGTTGAGCTACTACTAGGCTATATGTTATAGCCTACTAGTAGCGAAAAGCGCCGGCTTTGAAAACCAAACCAATGGCGGCTGAATCGCGTTTTGCTAGGTTAAGTTGTTTTGTCTCGATATTTTTGACCAACTATTGGATTTTACTAAAACAATTATTTGTCGAGCCCTCATGGCCTCTGAGTCACTCAGAACCCATCCGGGCACGAGGAATAATTGTTAAGTATTAGACTACTTTCTCATAACTGAACAGTGGCAGAGATACCAGGACTGGACCCCCAAAAAGAAAGGCAGAAATATCTTTGATAATATCATTATATGTTGAAGGACGAAACCCTTTTTGAAGTTCTTGCACACACCTTTGAGACTGCTCCGAACTGCATTTCGTAAAATATCCTTTTAGTTAATTCTTAGCTGAAGAAGAAAATATATTTAATTTATTACTATACGGTACTCCATATAAAAAAAGTGGACAAAACCCAGGACAATTCCTCAAGCTCTACGTTCCCTCTGTATTCTTATTTATATGCCTTTAACATGAGCCATAATCAATTCGAATCCTTTTCCAGAGTTAATTCCATCGAAATACAGTCAGACCTCCACTAACAACCTCTGCACAACGGCCACTTTTTTGGCTTACAGTCCATACATTCACTTAACTCTTGTTCAAACCTCTCTTCAAGGGCCACCTTTCTACAACAGCCACTTTCGTCTCTCCCCAAGGTGGCCGTTGTGGAGAGGTTCCACCGTAGTCAAATGTGCTATATTTAGCACGAACATAACTATCGCGTGTGACGCGCGCGTGCGCAATTTTCGCGAGGGCGCCGCATACTATCTTATACGAATCGGCCTTCTGTCCACACGAAACCAGTGAATCCGCTCGCCAAAATCGCATCTTTTTGAAGCCGCTCACCAGAGCGGTATAAGGCCCCGTCCACACAAGTCCGGATAAAAAAAATGTGCGGTTTCAAAAACATTCGGATTCGTGTAGACATGGCCCTAAGATCGTGGGGGACAACTTGGTCTCATTGTTATGTATTTATTTTAAAATGTATGCACAAAGTACAACGACTGATATCGACAGGTTTACGAGATATTCTTAACTGGGTAATAGATGAGCGCGTTATTTAAAGTGTGCACGTGTGACATGGAGACAGCGAACAAAATGTTTATTCAATAGTAACAAATGGGCATAATTACATATCTTGTGTGACACTCGTGCGGGGCACCTTCGGGAGTCTCACAATTTAACTTTTCCCACAACTTTGTGTCCAATTTTGTGGGCATGACACACTTTAGATTTTGACCGATCATTTATTAATGAAATCACAGAGTGCGGTCTTCTATTCAATCGTAAATCTTGGACAGAAAATCACGTTTCTACAAGTCTAGCTCTATCGTGGCTTTAAGCATTTCTGCAGAGTGCAGTCTACCAAACTAAAAGCCACCCTCCTAAACGTCCACAGTTCCTTAATGTCTCTTTAAACTTTTACCTAAATCTCCTTCAAAACAGCTGAGATATAAGGGTTTTAAAAGATGTAGCACAAGCAAAATGTTGCTTTACGAAGTAGGTGTCCCCGCGGCCTTAAGACGAGCCACACCCAACCTATTTCCCAAGGGGAACTTTGGGCCAAGTCTCACGTTGTAGTCTTGCAGTGACGACGAAATGCACAACAAAGCGTGGCGCATGCATGTGCAAAGTTGTTTTTGGTTATTAACCCTATTTCTCTTTGACGTCTTTGTTGCTGTCGCCGTCGTGTTTTCTTGTGGATGCTTAAAGATCCAAAATTTGTATTGTTCCATACCTCCATTAAACGGCCAGAAAGAGGTGGGTTTGGTCATTTTCCGTGAAATGAAGAAAAACTAGTTTCAATCTGTTTAAAAGGATCGCAGCTAAGGATTAAGATATAGTTATGTCACTATTGCCACTTTGTAGTTGTAGTCAATAAAAAAATTAAGCTCCGGTCAAATGGCACGCAAGGGAGAATGATGTGCTTATATCACAATCTCAAAACAGCAAATTAAAAAATAAACTTTATTCAAAATATTCAAAACACATTTTATCTAACTCTATAACTATTAAGAACCCTTTTAAAACTCGAAACAGTCAACAAGGCGCGACTGTAAACATGCCACTGTCATCGCGTGATTTCGAAATTGTCTTTCATGCGCCCGTAAACGATGGAAAGAGGTTACCCTTCACGCTTCGACAACAGACTTACTTTCGTCCAGTATATAATATTACTGCTTACCGGAAATAAAAAACATTCATAATTGTCGAGGGAAATAAGGGGCAAACAGGGAAAAATGTTTACAACTGAGAATGCTGGTGTAGAGGGTGTGGCTGGAATAAGCATACGTCACAACATAATCACGTGTATCGCACGATGGGCATAAGAAGCATTGTCTTATAGGAAAACGGTCTTTTACCGCCCTCCTCTTTTTCCGTCCTATACACCTCAAGGATAACGTTTGAAGCAATGGCAAATGAGACAAGGAGAGGAAGGGTGGTGGAAATAAAAATTTTTGTCTCAAAATCTTGTAGCCAGGCCAGGAGACGGAATAATATACTGATTTCTTCTCTAAGTCTGAAGTGAACAATTTCCTCGTGTCCATAGATTGGTCGATTTTTACGTTGCCGGACGAATCTCTTTTTCTAATTCCTGTACGCATCTTTGTCCCATTTCTTGCAAACTGCGCCGAACAGCATTCTGTAAAATACCCTTCAGTCTTAGATCATTGCTGTCAGAAAAAAAAGTTGTTAATAATTACGCGGGAAATGAGGTGCTGTTTGAGGGTTCCCCAAAAGCCAAAGTGTCGCAAAAAAAGAATACCAAATATTACAAGTTAAATTTCTAATCCCTAAAACAAGGCATCAAGAAAAACTGATATTAAATAAATATCCAGAAATAAACTTTAAAACAAGTGTTCCATCGGGAAAATAATTTGCTCTCTTCCTACGCCCTAGAATGTTCTAAAAATTAAGTACAGGCGTGCAAAAAGCAACTGTGACTTTGCAAGCTCCCCGGAAAAATTACAACAAACAGCGGCAAAGCTCTAATTTTTTTATCCTCCAGTATGCTTGATAAATTTTATAAAGCCTTGCACTGGGAGTTGAAAACCTTGACTCGAGTCTAGTTTAGGTTTCTTTACTGTGAATAGCTAAAGTAATGTGGTTTTCATTTTAATTTAGGACGCGTGCGAAAGCGGCACAACTAACCTCACTAGCATCTTGACGACATTGATAACTGTCTGGCATTCTCGCTTGTACACCTTAAAATATAATTAAATATAAAACCAAGAATAAGTTTTCCAAATACATTTTCGGTGGACTTGAACTACTTTTATAAAACGCAAAATACCCCGTTTTCTTATTAACTAGGTATCATCATTTTCTTATTAAAAGTGGGCTCGACCTCATTAGAGTCCGAAGCTTCTCTGTTTGTAATCCGGTGTAAGAAGGAAACGCCATCTCCATATGGGTTAAAACGGCTAACCTAATAAGAAATGGGGAGCTCAAAGAGCGGTAATCTTCACTGTACCCCACCTTCCTCCAAGCAGAGAAAAACAGTAAGGAAACAAAAAATTAAAAACAAAATAATTTCAAACGCTTAGCTTTTCAAACCCAGCGTTATGATATTTGCCTTTAAAGGGTTTTTATCACGGCTGCCTAGTTCATTTTGTTTTTGATGCAAGTTTCGCATTCTTATTCGTTTTGAAACTTGAGCAATTACCTGTAAATCACAAAATTACAGGCTGGTGTCAAACAAAATATGTCTCTCAAGAATCATATCAAACATTACAAACAAAATGAACGTGAAAAACTGTTAGGCTGACAAGTTTTCAAAAACCACAATTGCAATCTGTTTCAATCTTCTTCAAGTTTGTCCATCCCTGCTTCCTTTTGTATTTGTTGTGTCATTTATACCTTCTAATAGTTTTTGAACGGTTATTTTTATGTTTCACTCAATTTGGTGGCGGTTCCCAGTGTTGAATTTTCATAAATTTCGTCGGTGACACAGCTCCTTTTTGAAGTAGAGAAAGCATTACCTGCATTCAGCACATCCCATCCTTTTAGAGTTTAACTTCGAAAAACTAGGAATAAATCTAACGATGTTTACGCATAAAACAACTGATATATAGTAGGAAATAGTTCCAAAAGCATTTTACCTGCTCAATTTCTTCTTTCTTCTCCCGAAGTCGTTCCATCTTAAGAGCTACCAAGTCACTTCCCAGCCCTGTTGCCTTTTTCTCACGTTCTTCAGGGTGGATATTTTTGGCAGAACTTAGAAGGCGTTTGTTATGAGGGTTATGTGAAGAGTTATTTGGCGACAAAAGCGACGCATATTCTTTGGTAGCTTTGGGACTATCACTTTGAGAAACAGAATTGTTTTCACCTTCAGTATTTCCTTTGCTAAGACTATTCAGAGGAGTCAGTGGCTCACTATTCACGGTACCACACGTATTGTCTTAAATGTCTTCATTGGCATCATTATCAACCGCACTCGAAGGCCGCGTAACAGATTCCATGTCAACGCGAGTGACAGTATGAGACGTGGTTTTCCTCAATATTTTCGCGCGATTCTTTTTGGTTTCTTTTTAGGATTTCACGCTCAAAAACTCATTTAACGAGTCTGCTTTACTGCCGTTACTTTGAGGAACAAAGCGCAAATCTGTGACTGCGCGGGAACTGTATTTACCTGCACTTTGTGGTGGTGTACCTGTGGCATTACCATCAGATACCTGATGGCTCTGTATGATGAATTTCAGAGATTTCTTTGGCACCTCACATGGCCGAGGTCCATCCCTGACATCTTCGTGGGATCTTTTGTGGTCGTGTCTAGAGGTTGAAGCACAATAAGTTTCTTCATTATTAGGGTTTTTCTTTGGCGGGAAAACGAAGAGTTCATGTTTTGATCTTTTCATCCATTTTTTCTGATAAAACAAATAACAAACACTTACCGAAACCATTGTTCAAGGTCATACGAAAATCGCTCTATCTGTGGCAGCCAAAGTTGATTGTATGTCTTGGAAATAGAGCTGAGTGTCAGTAGAGTGTTACGTTCTTTTAATATTATCTTTTAGCGTACTAAATTTATGTTTAAGTCTTGTGAGGATTGACGTGGGGTAGCTGCAGTCGGCGCAGCTGGCTATAAAATATCCTGTCCATAAAGATCGATAATTCCGAAAATGTTTTTGGAATGTTGTGTGGTATTAAGGATAAAAATAATAGTAACAAAACGGTTGAAATGTGGATGCCCGCAAAGCCTGCGAAACCGGTTTCTGAAATAATTTTCGGCGTTGTCGATTTTTTCGGGCTTGCTTGTAATTTTTAAAAGTTATTAGAGTTAAATCAATTCACAATTGAAGTAAACATTTTTGTTAATTTTTGTTGTTTCTTGTGAGCTGTCTATTAGGGAGGGAAACATTAATTCATGGCGTATTGCATGAAAGCAGGGCTGATTATACAGCTAGATGACTCCGCTTCCTGAACATGCAACTGCTTATATAAATGCTGGTAATTTTCGTCTTGGACGATAAAATTAAGACCGAGAGTTACAGTTGTAAATTGTGATCTTCTCTCTGAAGTAAGTAAACAACTGACCTATATTTACCCTCGACCGTCTTGTTAATAGCATTGAGGCTAGTGGCCCGAGCATTCCCTTCCTAAGGTTCACGTACTAAGCAACGTGGCTCAGAGATTGGGAAGATTTGTGCGGTTTCAAGCGGTGACCTCAGGGTACATAAAAGTGACAATAAATAAATACAGCACGAGTACCACGGCAAACAAAAACATCAACATTATTCTTCCGGGATGGTATCGCTCCTTGATGTTTGAAGTACAAGTGCCTTCGTTAATGTCTCATTTTCCCAAGAAGGCCGCGTTTTAGACGTTCGAAAGATACACTCTCAGAGACGTTAATTTATTTAAAAAAATCTCATTCCGTCTATCTTGCTTAAGATTGAGAACTTCGGATTTGTCAGCATAGTTTGTTAGGCTGGTTGGGCACTAAGTGTGAAAGCGTTCCGATCTGAATGAAGTTCTGCGTTCATGTTTGGTTGTTTCAATCTTATGAAAGTTACATACATGCGTAGAATGCATGTATTGCATGCATATTTCCTGGTAGATGGCAGATGTGTGCCAAACCATAGTATTTGAAAGGGTGAGGAATAAAAGAGACTAAAATTACGAACCATAACCTTTACTAAAATGTTCTTTTAGTAAAATTATAGTTAACTCTTCTTAGAAACTAAGTGCCTTTTAAAATCTCAAAAAACCAAGAACACTGTCACTGTTTAAAAATTCTTTTTCTTCAGCAATGGTTTCCCTCAAGATGCCACGCCCACCCGATTGTTAAAAAAATCGACCGAAAACTGTTGTACATACGCGCAAGCAAAAGGAAATTACTTTCGACGCACATTGTCGTGAACTGACAAATTTTTTATCCTCCTGTAGATGATGACATTGCAAAAACGTTTCCTAGTTGCAGATAAAACCCCAAGGGGAAAATACGAAGAACTCTGGGGAGGAGGAAATAGACCAGCAGACTGCAAGATATAGACTTAAAAAAGACAGCAAGCATGTGTTGGAAATTATATTAGGCGACTCAAACGATAAGGTAATAAAAAAGTTCCTCTAGAGGGCAACCTTTACAGTTTGGAAGCCGACTTGGTATCCGCTTAGGTAGTCTTCTAACCCTATGACCCCTTTCCAACAAGATTCTCAATATAAGAGTCGAAGTTTAGATGGGAGATAAGACAAAGAAAAAGGATTTTGGACCCGCTATTCCTCATATCCAAGTCGACTATGGCCGAGTACTTTCCTGCTTTCCATGATCACGTTGCAGGACGAACCTCCTTTTTTAACTCTTGCACACATCTTTCTCCCATTTCTTGCAAACTACGACGAACAGCATTCTCTAAGATACCTTCTAATCTCCGGTCATTGCTGAAAAATAAAAACAGCCCAAAAGATAAAAATACAATAACACTACTTTCTCAAACGTTTTCGGTCGATAGGCGATTGTCACTGGTTAAAGTTAATTCCATACTTCCTCGAAGTAAATGGGAACTTATGCTCAAGCAGTTCACGCGTAAAAATTAGGACTTTGCGTGCGAAATACCATTTTCAAACATTTCCGCAGAGCTGTGAAGAAGTTGAAAAGGTTTTCAACCGAACCAACCAAAAACAGATTGTTTCTAATCGAAAGCGAAACACTTGACCTTCAATTTGCTCAACTCTTCAGTGTATTTAGGTTTTCATTAAACCTAGACGCTACCTTACAGGGGCGGATCCAGGATTTTTTTTTAGGAGGGGGTGCACTCGTCTCTTGCTCTACTTCAACACCAATAAACCATATAGTTTTTTTTTTTGGAGAATACCAGTTGTATTAGAAAACCGCAGGTCATCTCAGGGGGGGGGAGGGGGTGCGCACCCCCTGCACCCTCCCCCTAGATCCGCCCCTATCATAGCACTGAGATATAAGAAACGTTACTACAAAAAGTCAAGATTGTCACCCGTGACATTATAAAGGTAACAGCATATTTATTTCAAAACGTCAGGGACGACAAGAAAATTCCTGAAAGAGGAAAACATTTTTCATTCTCAGTTTTAATCCAGTGAAAGCCAGAAAATCTAAAACAATGACTTCGCACTTTCTACAGCGCCTATTAAGGTTGAAAGGGTTTGCCTGTTATTTTACTATAAGGTTATTTTTGACCTATTTTAAAGTACTTTTTTTTCACTATAAAACCTGCCATTTGTATTTAATACAATGAAGCAAAATCCATATCCAAGAATTGGATGATCAAAGAAAGGCAGTGCCCAGGAACAGGTCTCACCACCGTGGAAAATAAGGGGAGCCCGTCCGGTCCTGTCATTGCTTTTATGCCTTTAAAAATAAAGTCCTAAGTTCTCCCTATAAACTGGTGTTTCAACATTACAGTTACCCTTTTCCCCCTTTTCTCGAAGTCTTAAAACCTTGTGTTTTTTAACTTATGTAGTAATAATGTTTTATTGAACTGTATTTTAGTTCTTCTTCTTTTCAAAGTTCATTTTGAAACATTTGCCTGACACAAATGGTTCTTGAACAGCAATATGCAGTGTCTTGCTTAATTACAGGTTAAGGTGGCCCGAACCTATTTTTATTATATACATACTGAGAAATACTCACCAAAAAGCTATGTCGTAAATTTTCGTACGCAAATTAGTTCTAGCCAATCAGAGGAGCGAACGATGGTTTTCACACGTGAAAAAAATGATACGTCCAATCAGAATCGCGAACGATGTTTTTTCACGTGTGAGAAAAATGATACGTCCAATCAGAGGCTACAGAGGTGTGTAAGTTTCGCCCCAAAATTCCCGCCTTTTATTCCAGCTTGCAGCGCCGCTTCGCACACATTCAACAAGAAAAGTTTTACTCAAAGAGTTTTTCTCGCTAAAAAAGTGAAAAACATTTCGGAAATGGAGTGTAATAGTTTCGTTTGTTTCACTGTCGATAAAGAAAACGGTAGAGAGCCGGCGAAACAACAGCGGAAAGGGAAAAACAGAACGAGACGTAAGTTTTTGTTGTGCTTTTTGTCGGAGCTACTTTGCCTTTCATTTAAGCTTAAGCTCAACCGGCCATTTTACTTAAATTCACTCATTTTCAATTGTGCATTGACAACAAACAGTTAAGATTTCTTATAGTTTTTGGATTACCTCATATCCTTACCGTCATTTATGTTTTTAACAAACGTTTTTACTAAAAAGCTGATACTTCGTTTTCGTTGTCATTTTGCAGCAAGTGTGTAGCGGCAAATAAGCATTTTTGAAAGATTTAAAATAAAAAGGCCGCCAAAATGATGAATGTCTCGGTATGTATATAATAAACACAATACCACATGGAAAGTGCCTTGTACGATATTTACGCACTCGTTGTTTTTGTATCAGAAATCTTACTCGTTCGCTGCGCTCACTCGTTCGATTTCTGATACTTCAACAACTCGTGCGTAAATACCGTACGCCAGCACTTTCCATGAAGTATCCTCTATATATTTTGAATCGCGTTTTCGGCAGGAATGATTTAACGATTTCCATAGTGTTTTTTGGTATCCTTAATAAAGAATGTTTGAACTTTAAGAAAATGTTATTTATTTTCTTGTAGGTATAAAAACGTTTGAGATATCAGCATATATTTAAAATCTCGTTTTCACAAAAAATGTCAATAATTTCGAAACCCTGAGACAGATTTTTCTCTAACTTCGGCAAATAAGCCTCAGAGCTTTCTTTTTATATCTGCAAGTTTGAAGTCAATCGTGACCGTAGAACTCGCTGCACAAATAGCTGGTCAAATTTAACCTTAAAAGCTTGCAACTACAAAACGGTTTCCTTTGTGCTGCTCACTAGTCTTCCTTGAAAAAATAAAAAATGTAAAAAAATTGAATCAAATTAAGAAGAAAGAAAGAAAGAAAGTAACATCTTAAGGGTAATTATTTTTTTGCTGAGGAAACAGCAAGCAGTTACGGTTGTTGTTCAGTCAAAAAAGACAAAAAAGTACTTAAATACAAGTGATGAATTTAAATTTTTAGCTCTGTTTCATGTTATCTTTTCTTTTACTTTTTCCTGTAATGCTATGCACATCATTGAGAGTCTATTACATTTAGGACTTACATTTAAGATCGTTTATTGCATTTAGGCCTTCTACAGCTTTCTATGATCTACCTTTCGCTTCTAACTCTTCTTTCAGAGCATTCTATTATATATATAAATGATATTCATACACGCTCGAGTTTGCTATCTTTCATGTTATTTGCCGATGATACTAATCTCTTTATTTCTGGAAAGAAACTTGAAACCCTTGTAAATAGGGAAATGAAAGGTGTACAACTATGGCTTAATTGGTAATCGCGAAAGCCGAGGAGAGTCTCCCGACTTCCGACTTCCAACTTCTGACTTGGCTATTACACCTTACATTCCTTACGTTACAAATTCCAGTCCGAACCCCGACTTCCGACTTCCGACTTCTGACTTTCGACTTCCAACTTCCAACTTCGGACTTAAGTCTTTTCACCACTTTCCATTTCCCAGCTCAGCCAATCATGACGGCGAACTTGACACATCCTGGTATCGAAATATATTGAACATATCGTCAGCATACCAAATACTACCACGTGCAGCCTCACAGAAACAGCTCCCCTTATTGAAAGAGTCAGGTCAGCAATTGAGTTTCCCTGGTCATGTGCTCCGCTTACCTGACAATAAACCTGTCAGAGAATTTGTTATGTATCGGTTCCAACTCAGGGGAGGAGGAAACCCGGAAGACAGCGAACCTTGTTCACCAGTTGTATATTTATTGTCTTCTGGGGAATCCTGATATCCTGTTAAATGACAATCAGCTGTTGGAAATGGCTCAAGACCGCCATCGATGGAGGAAAAACTTTTGGTCGACTGCTCCTCAGCCGAAGGATGATGATGATGAACTTCAAAGTAAAAACTTCAAGGGGTGGCAGGCCACACGATCTCTATTGGTGTTAAACCTTTAATACCCTTCTACATATTGCTGTAAGAAGAATATCTCTTTGAAAATGCTACTCTTTAAATTACAATTCTACCAAACCAGCTGATTTGGGCCATTCGGTGTTGAAGATACAAACATAGAGGACGACGAGCTGAAGGTATATTTGAAGTGAACCTTGCATGTATTGATTTATTGTACACAGCTACACACATTGAACGGTCACTTAAGTTATTCAGTGACAAGCAAATTCGCTAGAAGTTTCAATGAACAACCGAACAGCCAAAGTCGTCGTGTTGTAACCTGTATTGAAATTTGATGCGTGAGGTCTCTCGGTCGGATAAAGAGTGCAAGATTGCGATTATTTTTCGACGACGTTCCAGAGGAGATAGCCTGTTCAGGCCTTCTACTATCTGAACGCCTGGAACAGGCTACAGAAAAGAAAGGAATGGATTTGTGAAAGCAGATGTCAAGTAAGTGATCGTTTATTTGTTTTGCGGAATATTTTGACTTAAACCCGTACCCTTCCGCGACTACAGTTTATCCTCGGTCTGCATTTTGCACAAGGCCTGGGTTTTACTCTCAGTCTGCATTTTACCCTTGGTCCGCAGTCTGCGTTTTACACTGACCGCAAACTACGAACCTGTCACAAAATGTGCGTTACAACATTCACTGTTTTGACGTTATGCTAATGGCCTCCGAAAAACTATATCGAAAGACCTTATAATGTCTCAATTGAGCTTGGCATGGCAGTAGCACAACGTTTGAAACAGGCCTTTGGGAATAGCAGAGGGGATTTATTGTTTAGACTAAGGCCCTGTTAACAAGGAGGGAAGGTAACCCTGGTGCTAGGGTTACCCTAGCAAGAGAGTTACCCTAGCACTCGCATATTTCTTCTTTTTTTACACGACGTGTTTACAAGGCAGGTAGGGTAACCCAACCTGAGTGCAAGGGTTACCCTAGCAAGAGGGTTATCCTACCTGCCTTGTAAACGCTCTGCAAGGGATAACTCGCAAGGGCGCGGCGTAGCCGGCTTTTCGACCAGTTGTAGGCCTGGCTAACTTTCATTTCCACGATCCATATACCTTGAAAATTACACGCATGACTAGTACTCACTGACCTCACCAACACTTTAAGCTCTTAAGATTTTTAGTTCACCCTGACAACGCATAATTCCTTACAAGCGGTAGAGTGATCAAACCAAAACTGTGTAGGCCCGGGCCTACAGGTCGATGGACTGGCTACGCCCCTGACTCGCCTACCTGGGACAACTTTCCTCCGTCATGCGTGACCAGTAATCTTGACAATTTGAACAGAATTATCCAATTTCTGAGCTAAATTATAAACATCAGAACAATATAATGTATTCTCTGTATACGATGATAATATTTTCCCGTTTTTTCGTGAATTTAACGTGTTTTCCATAGAGAACTTCAAGTTTTATTTCAAATCTTGGACGTTACAAAGAATATCACGTATGACGGAACAAGTCAGTAATGCTGATAAAAGTTGACCCGGGTGATAGGGTAACCCTACCTATGAAATTTGCTTGTAAACCACAGCTAACTTTAACACTCGCTAGGTTAACCCTCGCCAGGAGCCGCGGTAACCCACTCTCCTTGTAACAGGCCCTAACACAAGCGCTGTAAATCGATGGGAAAACGGTAAAACTCCTGCGCCTTACCAGAGGGAGGGAGACAGGGAAAAGTTTCTAAACGACATGAGATTACTATTAAAGGTAATATTAAATAAACTAGAGCTGCATGTTTAGTCCGTTTGAAGAGAAAAAGAACCTACCCGCATCAAAACCAGCCTACGGGCCTGTTAAGAGAGTGCATCCAGTTTAAAATATATCCAGTTTTGATAGTTTTTTGGGCGGTATACTATTTACCACTCCTTTGGTAGAAGTATCATGACACTCACTGTGTCTTCCGAATGTTGGTTTGCTGTTCAATCGCTTTATGTGACCGTGATTTATAACGTTGGGAGAGGTAAAAGTCCGAAGTCAGAAGTCGGAAGTCGGAAGTTGGAAGGCGGAAGTCGGAAGACCCTCCTCGGCTTTCGTAGTACTTGATGCCGGAAGTAGAGAAATTCCGAGAAATAACAAACTGAAACACCCTTCTTGTTGCGAGAGCTTCATATGGCCAGCAGACAGTCTTTAAAGCTTTTACTACACTTTTCAATGTTTTCTTAAGGACTTTAGAACCGATCGACATCATTTGAAGCGCTGTATAACAGTTTATAAGGAACTATAAGCTTAATTGTTATACCTCATTTGCAGTTAACAACAGGATTTCTATTGAGGTGTTCGCTGAAGCAGTACAAGGTAAGATCAAGTAGTATTATTTAGCGTGATTTAGCGGATGAGCACCTTTCTTGAGCCATTTTTGCTATAGCTGAAAGTCTAGTCAGTCACTGGAAACCTTCTTGATCTTCTTAGCTTAGCAACCGGACACGATCGATGTGCAAGGTTCAGATGCCGAACTTTTCATGAGCGGAACCTAATACTCTATTCAAATTGTCCTGCGTCATTAAATGTTCAAGGTAGAAGACATCGACCCATTATTTCTAATACTCCGACGCTGCATGAACGTCTGTGGTGTTTATCGCTCTCGATCGTCCTGAACTGTCTGAACTCACAAACTTCATTTCCGCCGGTTAATCGACATACAATCCCGGTACATTCTTCCGCTCGCTGATCAAAGCATATTTCAAGTGAACGCTTGAGAAGACACAAAAATATACATACACTTTATTCACGTCAAATGCACTACTTCCACTCACTCCATCATTAGACTACAAAGTGGCTCCGTGCCTATCGATTCCTGTCTACTGAACTCTACATCAATCCATAAATAAAGGAGGGTACTATTTTTTTGGCCAATTCTCAGTTAACTACTAATTTTGGTTAGCCATTAACTTTCACTTTCCTACAGGGAATATTATTCCGTCATAACCCGAATTTTTCTTCCTTCAGCAAGTCAATAACATTTGGGGGTAGGCCTTACTAAAATCACGGTATAAATTTACATGAACTCTGCCACTAGTACAGTCTAACCTCTCCTTACGGACACCTCTTTTCTACAGACTGTTCGTTTGGGCCCAGAAATGCCAAAAATCATTCCCTACCTCTATAATTGTCTGTAATCTATAATTGTTTGCTCTACCCAAAAAAAGTAATTCTGAGTGACAGAGATTTCAAACCTCATGCTTTCGAAAGCGAGGAAGGGTACAAATTATTAGCTGTTGATCAGACCCTTCCTACAGTCTATAAAACTCGTTTGGTTGCACTCCTTTCTTAGTCCATTTCAGGTTCCTACCTTTTCCTAGCCTAAGACACTTTTAGTGGTTTTGGCTATCAGACCCAGAATAAAGGTCCTCTTAGGAGGTGTACGTATGTCCCTTTATACTCTGAATTTTGCCATTTTATCCAGTCTTATGTTGCTGTTTGAAGGCCATGTGACTTGTCGGAACTTTACCCTAACAGGGCCTCAGAGTAGTATAGCTAATTTTGCAGCACAAGAGGTCACTACTATAATACAAATCTTTGACATTTTACCCCTTTAATATTGTATTATAGCAATTATAGTAAACCGATCTCAAAATAATATTGTTTCTTTTCCGTGCTTATAGATCAAGCTATTGAAAGAGAACTGAAGAGAAACATTGCAAGCACGTACAAAATGCAAAATTTGGGGGGCATTATTTGGTTTAGTTTCCTGCACATTATGCTGTCTCTTGCTGAAGACAACGAGGATGCAGATGTGATCAAGCGCTGCGTGTCCACCAACTCAGCATGCAGTTTCACCTATGCGCAAGTCTACAAAAGCTTAACAGAGAATCAGAACAACTTTAACATATCCCATGCCTTGTATCCTGATGGGGCAAAACCATCATTTCTTGTAAAAGTTAATGTTTATGGGCCCAATAAAACACACACCTCTATACCAGCAAAGTTTACCTGGAGTATACACTGTCTGTATGCCAATGCCCCTGGTCCGCTGGTGGAGATGTTGTCTCTTGGGTCCATCCTTGTAACATTTCGAGAACAAGAGCTCAACATACAAATTCCTGCGTTTTGTTGCAATATGTCAGGTTGCGATGAGGAAAGGAGGGAAATGATAAAAGGTTTTCTTATAAGGGCACAATTTGAGATAAGTGAATATTTTGAAGGAATATTATCTATTGATGGGTCGTATTCTAAGTGCACTGGCAGATCCATGTGGAGAAACAGAGGGTTACACACCAAAAACCACTTTTCAAATGATTTTACAGATTAAAGAATGTAAGTAAATACTACTTTCTCTCCGTAAACATGATCAAATGGATGTCATGGCAGTGTCGCGAGGCGAGCACGCCACATAAGAATTCATAAGGGAAAAAATGCTAATGCTTTTAATCCTTTAGTTTCAAATGAATATGTTTTCTAAGACTCTTTTGGCTTAAATACTCGGTAAATTAACAGGGAAAATAACGAAACCTGCTTTAATATATTGAGGCGAATCGTGATTCGCCTTTCTTGCTGGAACTTAAAGTATCGAAACTTTATCTTGAAGATTTAAAACCAAATGTTTATACGGGAAGGCTCCGCTCCAAGGTCCAACCCCTTACTCTTTTAAATATACCATTTTTCACGAAAAAGGTACTTTCGTATACCTTCTATTGACAAATGCTACCCTTTCACATACCTTGTTTAAAACTTTGCAGTTTTAAGAACCAGAATTGAGAGATGTATTGCTTGGTAACAGCGTTTTATGACCCGTAGAACGGAATTTCCGGTTAGGTCAAATTAGTAACGTTATACTGTCACACTTTATGTTTAGGGGGCAAAAGAATTGGGAGAGCGGTGCGTGAAAATAATGCTTATTGTTTCCTGCTTAGAATGGCTAACGTGCTTGGAACTTGAGTTACTATACAGCCCCGTCTCAAAAATGGTACTCATTTTTCTTGTTAAGAAAGTCTTCCAAAAGGGCACAATGTTCAAATGGGTTTATGTTTAACTCTCACATGAGGTGCTATGTCGCGCAATGGTCAGCGACAAAGTTATGTGGTGGCCTAAATGTGTACAGCCACCTCTCCCCCAGGTAAAATCGCCCTTGGCAGCTCAGTTAAATGCTCCTTTCGGCGTTTCTTGTTACCCATAAGTTCTGGATAAAACGACTCGTTCCAAATGTCTACATGCCGTCTTCAGCAATAACCATACCCTAGAGGTGTAAAGGGCAGATCGATAGAGCTTTTAAGAATACTGTCCTTTGATGCCCCAAGGGGCAGGGCTGAAAGAATTTAGTTAGGGATTTAAAAAAAAATGTTCAAATGCACCTGTAGAACCGGCTACAGGGAAGTGATTTTGCTGTCCTCTCTCTTCTTTAACTTGAATTTTAATTTTTCAGTTTTACTGTAAGGCACATGTATTTGTTTTGTTTGCTCTACAGCTGCAGGATCTGGCTGATAGCCCCGCCATTCGAAATCCATCACTGAATACAGCTGAGTGTGTTATACAGGGTCATCAACCTGACTTTGCAACAGGACGAAGTGATTACGTCAGAGCAATGTTATGGTTGTCTATGTTTTTTGTAATATTTAGTGGCCCTTTGTTGGCTAAAAATATAAGAGATATAGAAGAGTTAAGTTTAGGAAATAGCAATTCTGAGAAGAAAAACAAATTTGAGGCTGTGTGTTTTTCTTTTTATTTCTTGTCATTGTTCAGCAGTTTGCTTATCGTTGTTGCCTTTGCGCTTTCAGTTATGTACTGGAAACTTGGGGGTACCTTTCACTTTACTGTTATTATAATAATAATTTTCGTTCTTAGTTCGCTAGAGTCCTTTTGTGTCATCAGGTGGTTCGAGTATGGTGACTCAAAGCCTTTATTTTTGTTAAAGATCTATGGAGGACATGCGATAAGCTATATATTCTGCTGGATTATAATTGGGATTAGGATAAATCCCACATGGGGGTTAACCATTGCTCTTCTTGTTTCCTCTTGTTTCGCTTCTGTCACTTATGCAAAGTATATTTACCTTGAAGAATTCCCCAACGGTAACAGCCACAGTACTGGCTGCTGTACTACTACCAATAGTTTTACCACTGGTATTGCTTCTAGTAACGGTAGTAATTCTAACAAAAATCCCACACAAGCCAAGGTCATTTGTGTAGCTTATTGTCTTGTTGTCCTGTTACTTTTTCTCGTAGTTATTTTTGCAGGGCACTCAAGTAGTGGCAAGGAAATGGCTGTAGATGAAGTGCTTAAAGCCACCTCGTTGTACTTCATCACTGCATTTATCTCATGGGCTGCATGGAAGAAGCATGTTTCGGCTGATGCTCTAAATATGATGCTCGAGAATGTGGCCCAAGATCGAAATATGACCATCGGCACTGATGAGTAACCTTCGAAATACAAGGATTTGTATGGGAAAAATACGATTGTTTCTGTAACCTTCGAATGTGAGAGGATCTGAATAAAAATTGGCTAACCTCACTTAAGTTGTGTAAGTGAGGTTTTAGCCAACTTTTATTCACATCGGCCTCTTCTCTCATTCGAATGTTACAGAAACCATCGTATTTTTCCCATACAAAACCTTGTAATTCGAAGGTTTGCTTTGAGCTTGGGCTTCCTGTGATGGCATCACAGTATCACATGGAATCACCAAAGGTACCCCAAGCTCACGAGTGAAAATCATTGTTACGTAACAGAAATAAAATAAGGGTTTGTATGGGAATTTTTAGCGATCATTATTTAGGCAGCTGTCAAGGGGTCAAAAACAGCAATAAAAAATAATTTATCAGAACTTCTTACTTTGTCTTCTCGTTTTATTTATGGTTTTGGCCGTTTTAGTTCGATTCCAGTACGTTCCATAGTCAGGGTTGTGCTTTTTGTAAGAGATGCTTGTCGATTCATAACAAAGGACAAGAACGGAAAGAAAATTTTCGTACTCAGAGCAAAGATAGAACGTTATTCTGACTTCTTCATTGGTCGAATGTTATATGAAGATAAAGGGAAGGAGGAAAAGCATGTTTGATCTGCTTTGTGGATGAACGTGAGGAACAATTGGCGAATCTTAGTTTACATGTTTTGCCTCATTAACATATGTCTTTAATTCTATGATCAAGCTAATAAAATTAAACCTGTCAATAATGAAAGAGCATAACAAGAAAATTTCAGTTATCTGTGAAAATTTGAGCTCGATATAACGAAAAGTTTCGGAGAAATTACGTTTGAAAAACTCGAAACTTTACAAAGAATGTAATATCCAAGTGTAACAGTTTTCCGTAATTTGTTTTTCCTTTTGCGTACGCTAATTAGTTTATAGTTCATTTCGACCTTTTGTTTAGTTTATTTGCGTGAATTTAGGTGTTTAGTTCCATGGATCAGCGTTGGCCCCCTCGTTAGCGTCTCTTTGCTCTTTCATCTTCATTAGCGCCCTTTTAGTTTCGGCTTTAGTTTTCTTTTCCACATGTTCGAGTGCATTTTTACATCGTAAATAAATAAATAAATAAAATAAAGTGTCTTTATTGTTCAAAAGATAAAATTACATATCTTATGTTACATTTAAATATAACAATGTTAATGGGCTAAAGTATGTCTCTAAATAAGATTAGTATATATATAGAAACAAATACAAAAATCGAATACAGAAAGTACACTATTTACAAAGCTGCATTATACTTAAAGACAATTCTATTAAAGAATGTATTCTTGAAACGGTCTGTGTGAATGGCGGGCATTGCGGGAGATTTATTCCTTAAGTTGTAGCTTGTAATCTTAGTCTCAGGGGAATTAGCTCTAAGAGGGTAGTTCGGGATACTAGAAACCTTCCCACAAATTCTATGATCTTGCACTTTAAGTAATTCACCTATCTCTAATTTCTTGGATATGTATCTGCGTTTAAAACATCGATTTAAAAACTGCTGGGCTATAGTTAGCTCTGCTTCGGAGGCCCCATACCGAGATAAAGCATAAGTAATATTAGGTAGAACTATGGTCTACTTCTGCTTGGCTACATCCTTCTTTTCGGAATCATCTGATGACATACAAGCATTTATTAGCTTTACATAACTTTTCTTTAATTGCAGTTCGGCTGAAATGTGAGACCTAGAATGGTTACTGTACTAGTCTGTCGTGGTTCTGCAGTAAAATTTTCAGTTAGTTTAGGTCCGCGCTAAGCGCAGTTCTCGTCAGTGCTTTTCCACCAGTTTCTTTGCGTTTCTCCGCAGGCCGCTTTCACAGCAGTTTCTATCATACGGTGCATACACGGTGCAGAAAAAAGGTAATTTAGTGCAGAAAAGAGTAACAAACGTGACATTCTGATTGGCTGATAAACAAAGGAACTCACTGAGAGCCAATCAAATGCGCCATCTAAATGGCGCAAAATTTGGATCCGCTCCGGAGTAGTTTCGAGCAAAAACCGCAATGGTTGGCGTTTGCAGCACATTTGCTTTTGCGACCGAAACAACTGCGGAGGGGCTGAAAAACTGCTCTAAAAACGAAAACACTGCGAAAAGCACTGGTTTTTGTCTCTCTGTTTGGAAGAATTGGTGCGTAGATAAGGAAATTACTGATGAAATAGAAAATTATGAGCCGGCTGAGCTTAACACTTTGCTCGAGCATTTCTACGCCGAAGTAAACAATAAAAAAGGTAAAGATTATGAACCAGAAAGCCTTAAAGTAATGATGGCATCTCTTGATAGACACTTAAAGAACAAAGGCTGCACCCTGTTTATTATACGTGGCGAGAATTTAGTTCGTCCAAAGAGGTTGGAGGACAAAGCGAAACAGCTTCCCTTCGCCTTGGTCTTTTTTTAATGTCGTTTTTTTCTTGTTACTTGGGAGTATTTACAGTCCGCGTTCTTGTGTTTGCTGTTCTGTGCCATTTGCATGAGAAATTTCTTGAGTTTCACCGACAGTAAACATTGTTTCGCAGACGATGAATAAACAAGCCAGCTCTTCATGATTACTTTGGTCATTGATGGGAAATCGCTTTCAGTCGAATGCTGCCTAGAAACAGAAAATGCGCCGTGACGTCAAACTACTGTATGACGTCATGTTAGACACCACCGGATTTTCGCAGGTAAAGATGAATGCTGCGAGTTTGCAGCTCGCTAGGATGCACGCGCGTGCGCGTGCGACGAGATTATAAACATACTCACTTCGCTTGGCGCTTCGCGAGGAAAAAGCTAAATGAAAGAAATCGATTTTTGAACTCTTGCCACGAAATCAAGATTTTGCTCGATTTTTCCTGACCGTCGCTCTTAACAATTAACAGACCTTAACAACATTGCGGCACTTACACATGCCTGACAAAAAAAATTTCTCACATACCGGTAATACAACGACGCCCAAGTGTACGCTCCGATAGCGTCTTTTCTTGTCGGACCATGTGACCGGAAACACATTGGCCGCGCGGAATAAAGAGGCCTAGGGACTACAGCGCAAGTACAGTTAAGTACAGCGCACGGCGTACCTGCTTCGTTCGCAATAAATGGATCAGCTTCCTAAACTCAAAGGAATTACTTCGAAGAAAGAGCGTCGATTATATCAAAACGCAGACGTGCTGGGAGTGTGTCTCGTGGCAAAACATGCCGCTAGTACTGGACGCCACACAGGGCTGCGTACTGGAAGCGTAGTACGTGGTTTGTACGATTACAGCAAAAAGAAGATATTTTTAGTTACAAGCGAAAAGATCGTCCGAGAGGAAGAACTGGATGACCTGAAGAGGAGAAAGAACGTGTTGAACGCGAGCGATTATACCTTGTACTTCTTATCAAGTAGTGATCCTCATTCGCACAGCGAGCAGCCGAAAACTTATCAGCTGCAGGATGTAACTAATCTGACTAACTCGGAGGACAAAGTAATTTTCAATTTCGGTCTGGTAATCATTCCTATTGCTTCTGAGAAACTGAGTGAAAACTCTGGCCTAAAAAAAGTTCGACCTTTTGCAGCCAATAAAGACGTAACCGGGCTAAAAGACCTAAACGATTCAATCTGTCAAATTGTAGAGGGAAGCACTAAAAGTATTGATGTGAAATCGTACAAGATCGAATTCATTGACAATGAATGTGCTCTATCTCTCCCAGAAAAGGAAACTACCCATCGTTATAAGAATTGGACAGAACTTACTGCAGATGGGGCCATAACCAATCTTCACCCCTATGGAGCTGTCATCTTAAAGAGTGGCCGTGCTGTTGCTGTTCTCAACTTCGTGGATGATAAAATTTCTCCGGTGTGTCTGTCAGAAGTGCAGTTCTCTGGTAAGTATGATACGAATGATATAAACAATATGACAATCTGCCCAAGCTGCTAGGAAGTAGGGCAGTACTTAGGGTGTAACTTATTGTGTCAATGAACCGGTTTGCTGTTCCATTTTATTCTGTCTCATCCTTGGAGACCCAGGGGCAGTCAGTCGGGCTGGGAGAAAAGGCATAATGAAAGTTTTCAAGCACTGATGGAAGAGCCCCTGGGTACCGACTCTCACTGGACCATTTCCAAACGGTCAAGTGAATGCTGGCTCCTGATTGAGCATAAAAAATGCTTTGTATTATTGTGCCCAATCAGCGAACAGTTTCTCCTGAGTTCTTTTCGTGAGCTTGTACACGACGGCTATTATCTTGCCACAGTTGCCCGGTTCATTCTACCGATGAGTCAAAAAACATTTCGGATGCTATCAGCAGGAGCAATTCAATTTGCACTGAGAATAATAGAAAGTTTAAGATGCAGCAGCCACGAGAAAGTACAAAAAGCAGCAATAGCTTGACAGGCAAAACAAGAACTTTGCATGTGCATCACGCTTTTTTGTACATTTGTTTTCCGTCACTGCACGACTACCACGTGAAAATGCCTAATTTAACTTTTTGTGAAGGACAAAAGCAAGCAATGACAAAAATTTTATTTCTCTTTATGACTGGATTTGGTTGATAGAAATTCAGCTCCAGAAGAGTTCACTTGCATTTGACAAAGTAAGCGAGTTGAAATAACCATGATAGAGACTGAAAAAATGTGAATTCACTTTTCATGCGATGTTTTCGTGGCTGTCAGCTGTTGTGTGATCTTAAACTCCCTAATATTTACGAAGACATGATCGATGCAAGCATGAATACCTGTTGTAAGCTCAAGCTTGTATTTTTGGAAAAGTGTCTTTAATTTTTGGGTAGACAATATTCTGAAATGGAGAGTTTGCATTTCTCTGGTGCATGAGCCAGACAAGCCATGTTTGAGCTAATAGCTGTCGTGTATGAACTCACGAGAAGAACTCAGGAGATGCTGTTCGCTGATTGGGCACAATAATACAAAGCGTTTTTTGTGTCCAATCAGGAGCCAGCATTCGCTTGACCATTTGGAAATGCTTCAGTGAGAGTTCTCTGTGAAAGATATTATAGCCTGGGAAAACATCTGTTTCTCCACGCTCTTCACCGCTGGGGACGTTTCGCGCGGACGAACGTCTGTGACTCAGCGACAGAAATTCCATACTGATGACGTAAAATATGTCCAGAATCCGGTCAGAAGCCTTGATTGGTCGACGGAGTAGTTACATTGTTTTAGCTATTGTTTACGAATGACAGACGAAAGACAAAAGGCCACAAAGGTCAAATGTAAACGCGATGAATCTCTAACTAAACAGTCAATATTTGTGGAATATAGTCTTCTCTAGAACAAACATTTGAGTTTTGCTGGAGCTCGTTCACAGATGAACACAACACTTTACCAAAATCGACCAGGAGAAACCTAAAATTGAATAAATTTACATTTGGAACCCCATGAATACCGGATTTATTAAGTAAACATCAATTTGCGTCATCAGTATGGAATTCCTGTCACTGAGTCGCAGACGTTCCTCCGTGTAAAACATCCCCAGCGGCGAAGAGAGAGGAGAAATGGATGTTTTCACAGGCTAAAGATATTAAGAAGAATAAAAATTCAAGCCAAAATACTCATTTTGTCCTTCTTATGTTTTTTGCTGTTGATGGACTAAAGTGGTGAAATCAGAATCGGGATAGTTTATGGGGTGCAGGGAGGTTATCTTTGTTGACGAATTAAGTGCTATTGATTTTCCTATTTTTCTCCCATTTTTTATTATAAAGTTTCCTGCTTTTCCTATTTTTTGAGCAACTATGCCGCTGGACACCCTGGTAAGGTTGCTACTAAGTTTCTAGCATTTTATCTGGTTTGGGATTCAAGTTCGACAGGTTGTGGCTTTTGGTCAAATCAATTTTCATTTCCATATGAAAATCCTTCCATTATAATAGCACTTCACTTCATTAAACGAAAGAAGCACTCTTGTATGAATTATAAGTTCCACACGTTTATGTCAGAAATTGTAAATATTAAGTGGTCTGCACGATACAATGATAATGAAGATAATATTAATAACAGTAATAATTATAATTAATAACTATTAATTTTTGTGAAACATAGGCATGTAAAAATTAACGATATATTATATAAATAGCACCTGCATGGTTTTTATCATAGTGTTTGTGCATGGAAGATGATTTACTTTTGTGGCCAACCAACATACCTACCAGAATCACACAGGTTACATTGAAACTGGTACACTACGCACTGTTGATTTAAGCCACTTATGGTTTTGTCTCACAGCCGTGGAGGTCCTGGCCAATTTTCTTACTCACAAATATTGGTTGGATTATTTGTGGTATATGGAGCTTAAAACTTAGATCTTTGAACTGAGGCTTAACAATTTTTGCCAAATCCTGGTCCTCGAAAGGTATAACTACCCGAGTCATGTCACAACTCGTCATTTCCACTGAGGCCTGCAATGGCTGAAGGTCAGCAACCCTCGAGCTGACAAAATTGTTAAGGGTGGAGTTGATAATTAATGTGCTGAGGGTACTTCAAATGTGAAAACAGAGACTTCAAGCGCTCACACTCCTCTGAAAAATAAAACCATATTGAGGACAAACGGTACGCAAGATCAAGCATAGTTTTAATAATAAGCTTTGTTTGTAACTGTTGTCAACATGATTATGGTAGTGGAGAAGTAGACCAGTATTAGTAGGCTTCACGTACACCTTAGTCTCAATTTGGGGCACTCGGTTGAAAAGCTGGGTTCCGAGGAAGGGAAGCATCCCATCCTTTTCAGTCTCCATATATTGTTAAACTGACAGCAGAATGGGCTGGTTAAGAGTGTTTAAGAAATCCGTAGCTGTAGTTTGATCAGGCATTCCATTGAAATGTCGGAACAATATATTGTTACTTATTAGATGTCAGTAAGAATTAGACCATTAATAATGATAATGATAATAATAATAATAATAATAATAATAACAGCAGCAGTAGCAGTATCTTATTTAATTTTTTTCAGTCATAATTCTCGCTGAACGAGGTGAGTTTATAATCTTCTCGCGTGCAGTGTGCGCGGCTCACGTGAGGATCATAAGTGGAGTGCAATTTTCGCTTTGGTCGTAAATCTTTCTCTTGGTTTAATCACTGCAGTTGCCTAGCAACAAATCAAAAACAAATCCTAAAGACAGCATTCAGCATGATTTCATTGTGCATTTTGGGTTTCCAGGCAGCACGGCCACCAACTAGGGCTAATTTTATTCATCCTCTGTTTACTGTATGTTGGCAAATCACAAAGTATTTCTGAGGCAAATAACATCAGGCTCCAAACACAACAGCGTCCGTTTGGACAAGTGGCTGGAAGTCCTTGCAGTGGAAGATTTAACACCAAATGAATGGTGACCTGAACTTCAGCGAGAGCAGCGAAGAAGAAGACTAGTGCATTCAATTTGAGTAGTCTATATAAAGCTTGAGAGTATGGATAAACATGGAAATAATGCAAAATGACTTTGAAATACTTGTTTAAGCTATTTTTCCTCACGTGTATCTTTGAATTCATGATACATACAGCTGATCCACAAGGTTCAAACAGTGTGAATGGCAGAGAAAAATATTTCAAAGCTATTAATTTTAAATAATGTACTGTACAGTGGTTGCATGGCCCAGTGGTATCGAGGCCTCACTTTTTGCGCTGGAGGAAGTTGGGGTGCATGTTCAAATCCTGGTGGGGCTACTTCCATTTTTTTTTTCATTTTTTTTCTTTCATTGTATTTTTACCCTTTGGCTAATGTTTCTGTTTATTCTCATTGCTTTTAGCTTTGGGAGATTTTTGTGATAACATATTTCTAGTTTTAGTAGTCTATCTCAGAGCCTGGAATCACTAAAGCTGTCATTGTTTTTTAAACTAGCCAGGGTTTTTGTATGTTCTAATTTTGTTGACCATATTGTCTGAGTGATGTCCTCATGGCTGTCAACCCCCCACATCTTTAAATATTGAGAATTGATAGGGAAGGGATGATAGATGATGTCATAACGTTCAGCACATGATGTCATTTACGCACAAAAATAGTCGTTGACTCCGATTATTATGAATTTGCGATGACACAAAACATGCAAAAAAGATGTTGTTGGCATTGTAACATTTGACCTGATTGGTTTACTTCCCACCAATCACATTATTGCTTATATTACAATGGCATACCGGAGTTTTTTAAGAAAACGTTTGATGTTAACGGTTAAATAGCTCAAACAACGCAAAATATTTGAAATTTTATTGTCAGAAAGTCGAGTCTACAAGAAATGGCAAACTTCGGCGATTATCTTTGAGATTTCAGACTCTAATCTTGAGTCCGGGAGATACGGTCCAAAATCTGGAGTCTCCCGGATTATCATCCTGGAGAGTTGACAGCCCGGTGTCCTCAGCTGCTAACATTTGACCAACTGGGTAATTGCATTCAGGTTTTTCTATAGAAGTTGGTAAACTTCTGTTTGTAGCACCATTTTTGAATAGTGTCTGCCTAGTGCTCCCCATAAAATGAATGTCATGTTATTTTGAGCTGAGTTTAAATTACTTAAAAGTACAGTGACTGTCCTTTTGGAAATAATTCAATTTTGGTCTGTTTGACTGTTCTCACACATTTGTCATCATAGAGAAAAGATAAATATTAATGGTTCTATGTCATTTTCACTGATGGTTTTTTTTTCTGTAGAGTGTTTTCGCAGTAAGACCAGCGTTACTGATGGAACTGATGAGTCTGAAAGGGAAGATGGTACCTCCTCTGAAGGTAGGTGACGGTGAGTTAGCCCAACAACAATGCCTTAGAAATTCTGCAGTCTTGTCAATCAAAAATAATGCAAGAGCTGAGTGGCCATGTATTTTCAAAACTATGTTGATCATTGTTCCTATTCATTATCCTGAATAACAGTAATGAAACACCTTAGACTTTGACTGACTTTAAGTGTCATCAAGTGTACTAAGGAAGACATTTTGCTCCCTTGCAAAAAGAAGCTGATACACAATTTAGATGTGTTTCTGTTTAAAAAAACCTTTTTAAAAAAATCATGTCTTCAAATCGAAAAATATTTTGAGAGAGGATCTTGTAGTTTATATAATTATTATTATGAAAATAATAATTTTTAGGTTTTGGGCTTTTATCTCAAACTCAGATGACTTGAAATTTTCTGCTAACTCAAATTAAATTTTGTTTCCCTTGGACAAAATTTACCCTGATGACTCAAATTCTGAATGTAGAGCTCACCATATCATGCACCTATATATGTCCTGGGTGAACGTAGTCCTGAATAGGACTGTTGTTGTTGACAGTGACTGACGTTTCGACAACCTTTGCGGTAGTCATCTTCAGAGTCAAAGTGAATTGTATCACGTTAGTTGATGGTATTGTACTCTGGTTATTGATTTGATTGGTCAATTACGTCGTGATGTTATTGGTCGTCTGTCAGTTAAGCCGTGATGTTATTGGCTATGAAGACTCGTAATCAGTAATTGGTGCGTTTCGATCCGTCTATTGTCACAGTTAAACAGTCAATTTGACTAACAATAGACGACTGTTTAACTGTGGCAGTCATACTGCCCGCAGACAAGGGACGGGTGACTGTTGTTATGAACAAGACAGACTACAACGACAAAATGGACTCGCTTGTTAACGACAAACCGAGCTACGAAGTCCTTAAACGAGACCCGCTACCCGCACTGCAACGTTAACTTAACAACAAACTGCTTACACTGAAGAAAACCGACAAGATCGACTTTCGACGCTACAAAAGACTGAGGTGTAGTGTTCCGCAGCCACCCAAGCTGTATGGACTACCAAAACTACACAAACCCAACATACCTATGCGGCCCATAGTTTCGTTCTGTGGGTCCCCAACCTACCAACTGTCTAAATACTTAACTAACGTACTGAAACCGCTGACTGACGAATCTAGACACAAACTACAGTCTACTGAGAACTTTATTGACGCCATTAAGACAATACAGATGCCGGACGACCACAAACTAGTGTCCTTTGACGTGAAATCGCTGTTCACCAGTATTCCACTTCAACTGGCTCTAGACTGTACTGAGAACGCTATTAAGAACTCTACTGTTGAACCACCACTACCTACAGACGACATTATGGACCTACTCAACCTCTGTTTGACTTNTGTTGTAACCGAAATTGTCAAGCAAAACATCGAGGAACAAGCCCTAGCTACCTACACGCGAACCGGACCTCTTTGGTTACGTTACGTTGACCACAAATTCACCGCCGTAAACAAAGACAGAATCGACCATTTTCACGAACGGCTTAACAGACAGAACGCGGACATACAGTTCACCAAGGAGATCGAAGAAAATGGTAAGATACCTTTTCTAGACTGCTTGGTCACTCGCGACAACAACAAACTCAAAACGACTATTTACAGAAAACCGACACATACCGACCGATTACTAGACCAGTTTTCGTGCAACCCGACCTCTCACAAGGCTACTACTATCCGGACTCTGACGAGACGAGCGCAACTAGTTTGTGACTCACCTGACAGCCTACAAGACGAGACTGATCATCTTAACAACGTTCTTAGTGAGAACAATTACAACATGGACTTTGTTAGACGGAACACTCACAGTCTCACAGTAACACTGATTCCAACACTCAGACCAACTCTGACCCTGTTACGACAGCGAGTATACCGTACATCAGAGGCACCTCTGAAACTATTGCACGTATATTACAACCTTACAATATACGTGTTGCACACAAACGATAACCACTTTACGGCGACTTCTTACTAATGTCAAGGACAAAGACAAACCGGAGGACAGACAGGGAGCAGTATACAAGATCAAATGCTGCGACTGCCAGGCTTCTTACATAGGTAATATGACAAGCTACCCAAATGATATGACAAGTTGCTAGGAAGAAGGGTAGTACTTAGGTGTAACTTATTGTGTCAATGAGATGCAGACTTAAAGGACTTACATATTAAGGCGCCTTTTATATGGAGAAAAGTTGTCATGGGTGGAAGGGTCACCTGCCTACATTCATTCATTCATTCATTCATTCATTCATTCATTCATTCAGGCGGCCTCACCCACCTACCCTGTCGTGTTATTGGTTAAAATAGGAACCTTTAGATTCGAGGACAAGAACAACTATGAGTACGAGATTTAACTTTCGCATATTCTCAAATAAGGTCCCCAGAAAGCTTCTTTGTACTTCTTTGTCACCAAAAAAATTAGCACTATTATCTTTACTGGAGGAGGTTAAGCCATCATCCAATTGCAAAATGATAAAACCTTCAACACTTTATGACTTGTTTCCGCTACCATGACATTCTCTCTAAAACTCCTAGCAGAATGATAATAATAAAGGTAATAATGAATAAAATTATGAAACTTATACAGTACAGGCCATGGGTATTGCAGCACTTACACGTGTGTAAATTGCGTGCAACATGGCGGATTAACATGCAAAATACACACAAAAAACGCATATGTTTTATTTAATGCGAACAATTAGATGCAGCTTAGATTACACGCGAGATGCATGTATTTATCGTATAGAAGTTTCCTCTCTTACTCCTACATGCAAGCTGTATGTATTTTTTAATGGCAGATAACTAAAAGAAATCGTAAGATGCTGATGGATCACAGTCTCTTCACATTTAAATTTCAGTAGGAACTAATGCGTTTCGATTGAAAACGGAAATAATTTTGAATCATGTTTTTCACTTTCAACATGGCTTTATTATAGCAATCTATGAAAGAATCTTTTTGTAAGTTAGAACTGAAAAGTTGCAGTCTTCTTCATACAATGTAGTCAGCAGTGTATTGTGTGTTTTCATTTAGTTTGTCATTGTGTGACCATTTGTTCAGCCAAATCGAATCAAAGGAAAATTTTTACCGGATATTAATTCCAAAACATTTAAGTTTAACCAAACTGTAGATACATGTTTTTAAAGGTTGACTTTTGATTAACAATGTCGCTAATTCCTTGGCGGGACGGGGTAAAGTTGAATGTGGTATGCTTTTAAAAATATAAAATTTCACATAAGCGTACGCACGTAGTTCCCGCCATCGCGAGTGCCTGTGTTTATTGTACCTAAATTTATTTGTCAAACCTTGCCGTCAAGAAACATGAGTACTTGTTGCATTGTGTTAATTTTGGGGTCATTTATGTAACGTTTTAATGAGGAGAAGCTTGTAAAGCAACAGTTTAACCAAAGAAAAGTGTTCCATGTGAAACAAGCAATTTTCACCATTAAAAAGGATCACATTACATGAGGAGATAAGGAAAATCTGATGTTGGGGAAAAAATCTAACCAGCAATGCAAAAATAACCATAAAAAATAACTACAAGCCTAAGTGAACAAAGAGGCAAGGAAAACAAAGCTATTTATTTCAAAACCTGGCCGAGTTTATAACAAAATGAAAATAAAATACCAACGTGCTGTACATCACATGTCCCTGAAAACATTTCAAACAGCGCAGCAAATTATTCCAAGTTTCAATTGAGTAATGAAGAGCCTCAGGAAATTTTAAAGGCGGTTTAAATATTATTAAACTACACAAATATTTATCAACAGTAATTTTGTAGCTGGACTGGTAAGAGAAACGATCATTCTGAGTTTCCCCCTAAATACGACTTGAGGCTTAGGGCCAGAGGTAGCTCAGAGGTCGTCGTTCACCGCTTGACCAAAGATGAAAGTTGTCAAATACGTGCAGTCTACGTGTAAAATTTTACTCTCAGTTTCCAAAAGTTTGCGTGTATTTTGCTTGTATTTTTTACACGCTTGTTTTGCGCGGCGTGTATTTCTTGTGTAATTTGCGTGTAACTTGGCGGATTTACACTCAAGAAACACGCGTGTAATGCTGCAATGCTTGTGGTGGCCTGTACTGTATTGCACATACACAATAGAAATATTTTCATATGTTCATTACAAACGATAATTTAAGAATAAGTCAATTAAAAGCTATCTTAAGAAAGTACATTTTGAGAGCTCTCTTAAAAGATGTAAGGCTCTGAATGTTTCTGATCTCTGCCGGAAGACTGTTCCACAGTTTGGGAGCTGCCAATTGAAAGGCTCGGTCAGTAAACGTAGGTAGGCATCGTGTGTTGGCTTGTACCAACAAAGTTGCTAGTCCATAGAGGCACTTGTCCATAGAGGCATTCAATTCTGTATTTGATTGGCAACCACGGCGAACATGTATGCGTCAAGCATGTGCAGCTGGATAAGTTATCATTTTCAAATCGATTCATCGCATACGTGTGGACGGGCCAAAATGATGCAGAAACGCTATGTGTGGACGTGAATTTTTTTCGAAAGGGAGAAAAAAAGTTGCATTTTCAAATGAAAACGGATACGTGTGGACAGGGCCTAAATTTGGTTGTTCAAAACCCAAGAGTTCTTAACGAAAAAGTTTAGCTCAAAACTCAAAACTCAAAAACAATTGGGCAATTAATGTTTTTAATCACATTGTTACCCTTGTAAATTGTTTTTGATGAAGTGACTACTGTGGAATGGCGAAGTTAAAAGGAATTTTTAACTTTATTTTGTCAAGTATGAGATTGTTTTTATGACTTTTAAGATGAATTTTAATGTTACTGTAATTTGAAGACAGTTTTCAACCATTTCTTTATTTATGCTTATTTATGCTATTGAAAATGTGCTTGTCCAATGGACAAGTCATGTCAAAGGTTTACATGTCCGAACTAAATTTCTACCGGTCCCAGAAGATCGGACATAGGTTTTGGTGCCACTGATGTTATCCACCAAGGCTGAAGGTTGAGATGGATAACTTCCTATCCTCTGAGATCTGCTTAATTCCTCACATCCTCCTACTAAAGCCAAATTCAATATTAATTTGTTTTATTATTCATTCAAAATCGTTCTAAGTTTTGCACAACATTTCTTGCTCATAGACTTTCCTCAAACCCTTGGCCTATTTCTCCGCATGGTTTCAAAAGTAGATGTTTTTCCTTGTAGATACTCCTCTAAAATCCATCAAGCGATAATTATGTTTAGCGTATTCTTGTATTTTGTCTGTTCTGATTTATAAGTGTGAAAGGTTTTAACCCAGGAGTCATTTTAAAAGTAGGTTGAGTTTGATCGTCCCGGTGAACATAGTCCCATCTATAGAGCGTTTTCACTCACGTGGCCAGCATCTATGCAAGTTATTGGAACAAAGGAAAGCGTTTGCATAAGAAAAGAGTTCAACTCCCACAGGACTGGTTTGGGACACCATCATGGCCGCTGTTTCATTGTTTTGGGACACCAATATGGCCACCGTGACGTCATGTGAAAACACTCTATTCTTGATAAGCTTTCCTTGCCATCTCTCCTCAGATACCGTTGATTGTATCTCCTGCTGGTGGGCTTTGTAGATTGCCTGCTCTACCTTCTTAGCTTCCACTTCTTTACCATTGGTGACAGCAACTGGGTTAGGGAAGTTTAACCACAGCTGTAGATCCAGCTCCTCTGTGTACTTCTTCGCATCTCTAATATTATTATTATTATATATAAGATATACTAGTGTTTCTCTCTCAACATCCTAGTCCAAACCATGGACTTTGGGAAGCAGAGAAGGTTTCTACTTGATGAAGAGGACCCGCCTGAGAAGGTGGGATGTAGAAAAGAGGGTTATTTTCTGGAGTTCATGTATGTTGATGTTGCCAGGAATTTTGTTGGAGTAGTTTTCCATGTCCTTCTTGATGGTGCCAAGGGCTCCCATAACCACCGGGACTGTTGTTGTTTTAAGCCCCTACATTCACTCAACGTCGATTTTCAAGTCTTTGTATTTGTTAAGCTTTTCCATGGTTTTGACTGAGGTGTTGGTGCCGAGGGGTATAGTCATATCAGTGAGAAGGTAGGTTTTATCCTTCTTGTTCGTTAGCACAATATGCGGCCTATTAGCTGCTATGTTCCTATCAGTGTGGATGGGCATGTCCCACAGAATAGTGACACGGTCATTTTCGGTGAGAGTCTTGAGTTCATGCTCATATCATCGTTCCTTCACCTCAATGCCAAACTCTTTGCAGATCTTCCAGTGCATGTGTGCAGCTGCCTTGTTGTGGTGGTGGATGTATTCAGTTTTAGCCAGTTCAGGGCAGCTAGAGACCAGGTGGTCAATGGTCTCGTCAAAACGGCCACACAGTCTACATTTTGGGTCCACGTCAGGCTTCTTGAGGATGTTGTGTCGGTACCAGCGTGTTGGGAGGCTTTGACCTTGGGCTGCCATGATAAAGCCCTCAGTTTCTGCCTTGAGGCCAGCTGCTTTTAGCCATCTGTGGGTCTTTGTCTTGGTTCACGTCAACCTGTTTCACCTGTTGTGGGTATTTTCCGTGGAGCGCTTTTGATTCCAACTTGGACCTGAGCTGTTGGTGACCCTGGTGTTTGGCCTTGGCCTTTGTGCTGCAAGCATAGGTGGTGTTCGCCTCATCTTCTGCAGGTGGTATTTCAGGCACTCCCAGTTCACGACTGAACTTCATTGACTGTCTGCTGACGGAGTACAAGGATTTCCTGTCGTCATGGTCTTTGACAAAGTGGAGGAGGGTGTCCTGCGTCTCCTGGAGGTATTTGTCAAGACAGATAGTGGTTGGCTTGAAGGAAAGCTCCAGTTGTATGAGCCCTCTACCTCCTTCAGTTCTGGGCAGGTACAGCCTGTCCACGTCAGATTTGATTGTTTTGATTTTATTATTATCATTATTATTATTATCATTATCATTATTATTATTAATTAGAATTTTTGGAATTGGAATAATTATGTTGTAGGATTTTAGGATTGTGTTGAGTCCATGTAATGTGCAGATGAAAGTTTCTTTTCCTGGATTGAAATTTGTGCAATGCAAACCAATAAATATTATTGTATTATTATTATTTTTATTATTATTGTTGTTTTATTTGCCACACAATAATACAAAAAGATTTACAAATAATATAGGATAAATAGAAAAAAAAGTGGCAAGGAGACCTAACAGAAACTATAGGAGCTTATGAGAGGTTAGGCCTCCTCGAACTACGGGCTAGAGCTGTTTAATATCAATTGAAAAAAAGATGGCATAAGGACAAAGATGAAAAGATCTAAGATTGGTTTTCATATTTACATAATAATTTAATCTTCAGTATTTTCCTAAAGGAGGAAAGGGATTGAGAGTTGATGACCTCATTTTCAACTAAATTAAAAAATTTGGGTCCTTGAAAAAGGCAAGAACTTCTTATTGTTTGTTGGATAATACGCGCAGCAGACAGTAGGCCTGGGAATTTCTTGTAGTATAAGAGTGGAATTGATTGCTTAGGGAGAAATTGTTATTGAACCTTGAAGATAAGAATGAATTTTTGCAAGAATACATAAATTGGCCCAGTGGAACAAATTGATATCATTAGATTTTAGTATACCGAGTTCCTTGAGCATTGAAATGTGATTTATTATTAATTCTAATAATGCGCATTTGCAGTTAAAATAGTTATAACCTGAGCCACGCATACTTCTAGCAATAACACAGTGCAAAGAAAGTAGTGTCCGATACCGGGGGCTAGTGAATTTTGCTATTGCAGGCTAGTAAACGAGTTAGTAGAAAAACTCTGAATATCTTAGACAACTGGAATGGTTATCCAGAAAATGTTGAAAGGTAAAGAGTTAGAAACCTCTATCATTTTTAAGGCTTATTCCTTTTATTTATGACAATGTTTATATATACATGCGTCCAAGCAACCCATGTTAAAATGCAGCATTTCAAGTCATTTATCTCATGAAGTGTTGTCTGTTCTATGTACACAGGGACAATTGTCAAAGTATAAGGTTACAATAAATAGTAATCCGTGTAATACCTTTCTTTGTAGGAGATTCCATCACAGCAAACATTGGGGATCCGCTTAGAGATGGTAATTATTTGTAAAAAAAAGTTGGGAACTTCAGAATGTAGGATCACTTTTAATCTCCTACCAAAAAAGCCGTTAGATTATATGCATTATAAGACATTCTTTTCCAGATTAAACGAGCCACCAAAATTCACAACTTCAGAAGTAACCCTATTTGCGATTCTGAATATCTTAAACAACTGGAATGGTTATCCAGAAAATGTTATCCTAAGCCTCTCACGAGCTTTAGAAATTTGTGGGCAATATTTCCTCCTTCGAACAGATTTTTTACTGAAAAAAGTCATTGGGTGCCCCTTTTTGTTCTTGTTCTTTCATCCACCTAATGTTCATCTTATTTCAGCAGCAACCCAAGATCAACCTGTCCTCCATAATCCAGAAAACAGCAATGCAATACAACCCGATGGTAAGTGCCGTGGAGTTTAAAGGTGAAAAGTTAAAAATTGTTGAAAGGTGAAGGGTTAGAAACCTCTATCGTTTTTAAGGCTTATTCCTTTAGTTTATGCCAATGTTTGTATATGCATGCGTCCAAGCAACCCATGTTTAAATGTAGTATGTCAAGTCATTTATCTCATGAAGTGTTGTCTGTTCTATGTACACAGGGACAATTGTCAAAGTATAAGGTTACAATAAATAATAATCCGTGTAATACCTTTCTTTATAGCAGATTCCATCACAGCAAACATTGGGGATCCGCCTAGAGATGGTAATTATTTGTAAAAATAATCTGGAACTTCAGAATGCAGCGTCACTTTTAATCTCCTACCAAAAAAGCCGTTAGATTATATGCATTATAAGACATTCTTTTCCAGATTAAACAAGCCACCAAAATTCACAACTTCGGAAGTAACCCTATTTGCGATTCTGAATATCTTAGACAACTGGAATGGTTATCCAGAAAATGTTAGGCTAAGCCTCTCACGAGCTTTAGAAATTTCTGGGCAATATTCCCTCCTTCGAACAGATATTTTACAGAAAAAAGTCATTGGGTGCCCCTCTTTGTTCTTGTTTTTTCATTCACCTAATGTTCATCTTATTTCAGCAGCAACCCAAGATCAACCTGTCCGCCATAATCCAGAAAACAGCAATGTATCACAAGAACCCGATGGTAAGTGCCGTGGAGTTTAGAGGTGAAAGGTTAAAAATTGTTGAAAGGTGAAGGGTTAGAAACCTCTATCGTTTTTAAGGCTTATTCCCTTCAGGGTGCAAAGAAAGTGATTTTTAAAGCTTGCCATTCGGGCAAGCTGAAGCTAGCATATACTAGCCCAAACGTCATTTCAACTAGCCCCAAAAACGTTTTGATGAGCAGAATTGATTTTACAGTTCTTCTTTCATTTGAATTCCTCAAAAAACTTCACTCGCCCGTCGGGCAAGTTAGTTTGAAAATTCATTAGCCCGATAGCAAAATCCACTAGCCCCGGGCTATTGGACACTACTTTCTTTGCACGCTGCCCTTAATTTATGCCAATGTTTATGTATACATGCGTCCAAGCAACCCACGTTTAAATGCAGTATGTCATTTATCTCATGAAGTGTTGTCTGTTCTATGTACACAGGGACAATTGTCAAAGTATAATGTTACAATAAATAATAATCCTGGTAATTCCTTTCTTTATAGGAGATTCCATCACAGCAAACATTGGGGATCCGCCTAGAGATGGTAATTATTTGTTAAAAAAAGTCGGGAACTTCAGAATGCAGCGTCACTTTCAATCTCCTACCAAAAAAGCCATTAGATTATATGCATTATAAGACATTCTTTTCCAGATAAACAAGCCACCAAAATTCACAACTTCAGAAGTAACCCTATTTGCGATTCAGCTCCATCATCAAAGTGTATTCATTATCCGTTTTACTGACTGGTTAGATGCGTTGTTGATAATTCATGCTCAGTTCTCTTTCCTTTAACTATTATTTCGGTTACGGTTTTTTTTCACATTTCAGTTAGGTTAAATATTATAGAGCTTTTTATAGAAAAACAAGATCGGAAAGCTTTTAAGAAATTTTCTTAACTTAGCACCCACCTTCTGCGTGAGCAGATCCCTAGTAAGACTAAGGCCATCAATACAGAATGTTTTAAGAATACTTTTATCAATACACTTATCTATAGATATAAACTCAATATGTAATAAGTTACGTTGACGTTTATTATTATTTTACTTCTCTTCTTGGTGTGAAAAATTTGTAACGATAAGATATGTAGTTTTTACAGGGTGTCAAGCGAGTCCTGTATTCTTAGAAAATCCTATTTTTTTTTTTGAGACCTTTCCTGTTAAGTCCTATAAGTTGAGCAAATTCCTATATTTTCCTATTTTTAAGCTTTTTTTTTTTTTATGAAAAAGGCTTAAGAGGCAGTCTCCGTAAAAACCGCCCACTCAATTTCACGTGGTAAATAATTTTGCCTGAAACTCTGGCAAGTGAAAGGCATTATCGAGACTATAACTAAAATAGGTTTGCTTTGATTTACAATAATTTTCTTGCCGCGCTGGGGGCGCTAAGTATTTTGTCCCGCCACAGCCAATTTACACGTCTGGAAAATTGAAAATTTGGCATTTTTGGCGGCGCTGTAAAATGTTTGGTTTGCACCATCTGCCAATGAATTATATACCTATTTATAGGTAGACACCTCTAGGTTTACATGAAAGCAATAGTTATTCGCTAAGTTTAGCTGAAAAATCAAGCAAAATATGACCCCAAATAATTGCCTTGGAGCAAAAGGCCAAAAATGACCCCGGTTTAAAAGGTTATTTCCGACGTTTGGAACCTAGCTGAAAGCTGTAGACCAAATAGACAAAAAGATAGACCATCTGTTATTAAGAATATACAAAAACCCCTGTACGATTTCAGTATTTTAAAAGTTATGACCGTTTGTATCAACGCATATGCGAGCTTCTGCGATATTTTCAGCTCTCGCGTTACGGATCTATCTCAAGCAGATTAGGTCAAAAGTACGGCTTACCTAATTCATTACTAGTAGTGACTCACAAATTGAGCCATAGTCCAATCCCTGAGATCCCAGATTACATAAAATTGCAGTAAATGTGCCAGTTTAGAAGCTGCTGGTATGCGGCCATATTTGAATCGGCCATGCTGACAATCCGAAGCTCCAAACAGGTGAAACTGTGTCACGTTTCGAGCTAAATAGCTCGGTAAAACAACTTTCCAGAGGTGAGAGTTTGGTCGAGAATCAGAACATCAATTAAGCAGGTTTCATTTTGGGTCAGAAAATTGAGATTTAAGTACTACGACTTCGAATAAACCTTCCATTCAACCAGCTCTACGAGTTCGAATGCAGGTTGACACGCTAAACCGGAAATGCAGAAAGCCGGAAATACGGAAAACCGGAAATGCGAAAATCCTGATAATCCGGAAATCGACAAATCTGAAGTCAGTCAGAAACCGAAGAAACCAAGATAGCTGCATTTGTTTAGGTCTTCCTTCTCGACGCTGAGAGGCGTAAAAAATAAAACCTTCCAAATGAGGAAACCGTAGCTCTTTGATTTTCAGTAAATTGAAACGCCGCGTTGTCACGATCGATTGCGTTTGGAAAATATGCTCCATAAGAAACAGCAAATGTCATTTACCAGTCACAAACGTGCGATGTGCGTTAGCATATCACACTTGTGACTCATCCTTCACATAAGTTGGCTATATATCGAACTGGGTGTGGCGTGATCCCTGAGGCTCGGTTGTCAGCATGAAGGCCCTTGAAAATCGCTTATTAAAAGCGGATAAATAGTCCCGGCCTGTGAGTAAGTTTATATTAAATCGATCATTACTTAGAGAGGGGAGGGGAGGGCTTGAGCAAATGGAGGAAAGCCTTCTTTAAATTTTACTGACCCTCCTCCTTGTAAAGCAGATTTTTGTTATTCTCTTCTCATCTTATCTCGTCCCTTTGACAATCAGAACTAGGTTGACCTCCTCCCAATCTTTACCAGTGCTAAAGAGGAAAAAATCTTTAGTTAAATCAGTAGGCAGTTGACAGCTTCCATTACTAGGCATCCAGTAATAAATAAAGCAGCAAAGTTCGCCTTTGGACGTGGTATATATGCAACCTGGTATTTTTTTTGTAGGAAAGGGTCCTGAAAGGACCATAGTAAACGGTCGAACAAAGAAAAATTTTATGTCAATTTAAAATTCATTCCGAGTGCATAAAACAGCTGTTCGTTCCAGAGGGGACATTTTTTTCACGGTATCATCACGGATAACACGGGAATAGCGGATAACACAAAGCACGAGAAAGTCATTTGGAATAAAGAGAATGGCTTTTGCAAGAAACTCCCATTCAATCTAGAGCTGCTTTGAGAGAGGAGTCAATTATATATGTGTGTTTAGACCTTAAGACCAATATTTAAACCTAATGGTGCACTAGGGGGAAAGGACATACATACTTTATTGTTACCTCCCCAAAGGGGCTTTTCAGGAACAATGATTACCGTATTTAAAAATATCACATGTATTTATTTATAGACTGTTCACCTTTCCCTATTTTCCCTTAAGACCCTCGAGATCGAAGTCTTTGCGTTACGGGCGGCCATCTTAGATGAGTGTCGAATCTACTTAGGGGGCGGGGGACGGTTTTGTAGGAGGCGAAAAAAAATTTTTTTTTCTTGCCCTCCTCCCCCTAGAGCTATAATCCCCGACGCCCGCCCCCTCGGTACATTTGAAAATCAAGATAGCCGCCATTAATGGTAGGACGCGGTCGATCTCGACGATCTCACGGAAAAATAGGGGACTGTGAACAGTCTATTAGGGCGACGCTTTTTTTGGATCAAAACGCGATGACACATGGCCAAGAAAGGGGCTAAGACACTTTGTTTTAGAATAAGCCTTTTGCATTAGTTAAACAGTTCGCTTTTGGAAAATTTTGTTAGTACCGGCTAAAAGAGCATATTAAAATTAGGTAACCTGTAAATTTTTAGCCATATATATCAAAAGTAGCGATTGCAACGGCTGCCGAAATTTAGAAGGATTTGTGTGAGAAAAAGAACTCTTGCCACCCAGTCACGCTTGAGTGGTTTTCCATACAAATCCTTGTAAATTCTGAAGTTTTTAAATTGTCGTTCAATATTTCCCTTATGCAATTAAGGGCTCAAATTGCCTGTTATGAATTAAAGGGAGATCAAGTTTCCGCCCCGTAATGCTCAAGGAAATATTTCACGACAGTTTGAAAATTTCGAAACCATTCAAGCGTGAGACTGAGTGGCAAAAGTTGTTTTTCTCATACAAATCCTTCTAGTTTTCGGCGGCCGTTGCAATCGCTACTTTTGAGATATATGGCTGAAAATTTACAGGTTACCTAATCTTAATATGCTCTTTCAGCTGGGGCAAACGAAACTTTTTTTTAAAAAAGTAAGGGGGAGCCTGGCTCCCCCAGCACCTCCCCCTGCGCGGGCCCTGACCGTGTTCTCAGCTTCGTCCGTGTGTCTTCTTTTGTTCATAGAAAAAAGTAGAAGAAAAATTACGAAACGAGAATTGCGTAAAGTATGAAATAATCTACCTTTACTTTAAACGGGAACCTTAAATATTCAGAATCCATTATAAAAATCGCCAAAATATAAGGATGTTTAGAAAATCCTTTTGCAAACGATACTATTATAACAGGGACGGTTCGTTCCTGCGTCTTCTTTTGTTCATAGAAAAAAGTACAAGAAAAATTACAAAAGTACAAACGAGAATTTAATAAAGTATGAAATAATCTTGTACCTTTAGTTTAAATGGGAGCCTTGAATATTCGGAAACCACCTTAAAAATTGGGAAAATGTGAGGATGTTTAGAAAGTCCTTTTGCAAACGATACTATTATTGCAGTGACGCTCCGTTCGTGCGTCTTCTTTTGTTCATAGAAAAAAGTTGAAGAAAAATTACAAAGATAGAAACGAGAATTACATAAAGTATGAAATACTCTACCTTTGCTTTAAATGGGAACCTTAAATATTCTGAATCCGCCTTAAAAATCGCCAGAATGTGAGGATGTTTTGAAAATCCTTTTGCAAACGATACTAGATTAGATCCCAGACCTCTCCCGTCTCTGCACATACGCCGACGTTGTTCAGCTCTGTCTGTCCGCCATCTTGTTTTGTTACTTTGGTAGTACCCAGACTCTTGCATCACAGCTAGATCGCACGACCCAGCTCGTTTCAACGCCCTATCTCCTTACGCCCTGGTTTAAATGAAATATGTTAAATCATTTATCTCATGAAGTGTTCTCTGTTTTAGGTACACCGGGACAATTGCCAAAGTATGACATTACAATAAAGGGTAATCCGGATAATGTGACGATAGGAGATGAGAACGAGTTAACCCCAGAGGCTCCGCCTAGAAATGGTAATTATTTGTTTTAAAAAAATGCACTTTATTTGAGTGTCAATGTATTTAGCAGGAAAGTAGTAATTGGGGACGGTATTTTTACGTCTCGTACTGTAGACGGGACCGCCATTTTACGTGGTCATCCGAGCCACCCGAGGGTCCAGCCATTTGCAGGGCAAAGGTAGTACCTTGGTCCGGTCCCGGGTATCGAACCCGCGACCTCCCGCTCTGCAGTCAAACGCTCTACCGACTGAGCTAGTCCTGCCGCGGTTGGTTGCGGTTGTTGGGAACTTCAGAATACAGGGTCACTTTCGAAGCCATTAGATTATATACATTGCAAGGCATTTTCCAGATTAAACGAACCACCAAACTTTTAAAATTCAAAAGTAACCCCGTGTGCGATTCAGCTCCATCACCAAAAGTGTATTCACTATCCGTTCTACTTATTTTTTTCTGTGATACTTATTTTTAAAATTAACCATCCATTACGTTTTTTGCTACAACTGTTGTGATCTTTGTAATAATTTTAACTGGTATGATGTTAACATAGTAATTTGCCCTTTGGCATTGATAAAATTATAGGTTAAATTGTTTGTTTTCTTTTCAAATAAATATTATAATATTATATAAGTTGGTAAGCCACTGGACTGATTGCAAAGGTTAATTACGACAGAAAGTAGTAACAGTCAAAAAGGAGCAAGCGTGGCTGAGTGGTCAGGGCGTCAGACTCGCAGTCCCGGGTTTGAGTCCCGCTCTGGCGACTTGCTGGATTTGTTCTCGGTCGTCCCGAGTTCACACCCTCGCCCACTCTTGTAAAAAGCCAACTGGTTGCCTCCTGCCAGTTGGGGTTTTCAATCCTGTTATGTTGTATTAGAATTATTTGTTTCTAAGTATTTGAGTGGAGTGCCTGTAAACTAGCTGGACAAGCTAAGTGCACTTTCGACTACAAACAAGTCTTTAAACCTTTTTTTTAAACAGTCGCTTTTAATAGATGTTCTCTAGTTTTAGCTGTTGGGTTTTCTACCAAAACCACTACAGAGAGAAACACTGTATTGTCTTGGAAGAACTTGACAATCAGTTTCGCGTCTTTAAGAAATTGAGAAAAAAAAAGCGGTTAGTTGTTTAGTGCATAAAATGTTTGTTAGGGGGTGTTTACATGGAGGGAGGAAGATCCTAGCAACAGGAAGATCCAAGAAGGCGGAACAACTTTTCGTTGAGTTTACATGCCGAAATTGGGGTCCGCGAAGGAATTATAAATTAAACAAAGATTACCTATTCAACGACCCGCTCTGTTTGTCCCTAGTAGTAGGATCTTTCCCGCGAAGACAGTTTACATGGTGCTAGGATCTTCCTACATTCTAAGCTATTAAGATCCTAGTACCACGAAGATCCTAGGCACAAGGTTGTCACTAGAATGGATACCCCAAAGTCAGATTGTCATCCTCACTCAAAATACGTGATAAGAGTCTAATAACTTAAAGTAGTAAATAAGAGAAAAAAGAAAACAGAAGAAAACAGTAGGTAGTATGTAGCACTTGAACCCGCGAAATTGAAGGACAGTCCAAGTCCGTATCCACTATACCATTAAGGGCTAACTGCCGAGACCGGTTAATTTTTAAAATTTAACGTCCTTTACATGGCATTGATCATTACATTACTGAAAGCTAACCGTTTTTAAAGCAGTGCTTAACCCTAATCACTATACTTCGGTGCTAAACCCTGTATTCAACTTTTTTCCTTGCACATCTGTCCCTTTCTCAGATTTCTCCACTTTTCTTAAAAATGTGCCCAATAAATTCGCATAAATATGGTATAGCGTGGTATAGAGTATAGTGTTGTGTAATAAACATAAGGTGTCCAACCTGATTTTAAAGTATCCGTTCAAGTCACAACCTTAGGTACAAGTACAACTTTTTGCATGTAAACTGGATACAGAAAACATGGCGCTAGGATGATCCGCCTGCTTGGATCTTCCTAGTGCTAGAATCTTTCTCCCTAAACAACCGCTTTTTAGATAACTAACACCATCTGTTAATGTCCAATCGGACTCAGTTCGAGCCAAGCTATTTGTGTTACCTTCCAGAATAATTATGTAAATCTTCAGCGAACTATGTGATAATCTTACAGTTTATTCTAATCATTTTGAACTTAGTAATGGTGTCATGACGACTCCGAAACGTTGGTTTTTAGCGTTAAGTTTTTCTATAATAATAATAATAATAATAATAATAATAATAATAATAATAATTATAATTATAATTATAATAATTATAATTATAATTATAATTATAATTATAATTATAATAAAATGCATGTTTTAAGAGGAGGCCTGCATCACTAAAAGTGGTTTTCAGGAGGGTCCTCTACTAAAATTAAAATACTAAAACTAAAATAACATTAAAAATCCCAAAATGAAATATTAAAAGTAAGTAGCGTAAAAATTGAGAATTGCGTTAAACATATGTACATAAGATAAACTAAAAAGAATTACATAAAAACCTTTTCAAATTTCCTTTAAAAATTATGTCCGGCGTTGGTCTTTTAAGTTCAATAGACAGGTTAGCCTATTGTAGGGTAGCCTGTAGTAGTTTCTGGCTTATGTATTACCAATTCTTTGCTTAAATGTTCTTTCAACATTTTTAACCTGTGGATTACGCGTAGCGTAAAGAGCAAGTTATTGTGGGCACTGCAATATGCAAATGTCTCCCTCGGCTTTAGACGGCTTTCGTTATTGGTCGAGTCGTTCGAGAAATCCCGATATCAAAACTGTAACTGTCGTAGATTGATCGTTGCCGATCAAGAAGTACCGAGCGTGCATTGTGCCCAGAGCGTTTGATGAACATGATTTGTACCTTTCACAGGACAATAAATGCTATTGAATTTCAAACAGTACTTTAATGTTTGTCCGTTATCTCCATTGATTTTCAAGCTGGTGTTAATGACTTTAATGTTGGCGTTATTGGATCTGATTTTAGACTGTTCACAGTCCCCTATTTTTCCGTGAGATCGTCGAGGTACAGCGTGTCTTGCCGTTAATGGCGGCCATCTTGATTTTCAAATGTACCAAGGGAGCGGGCGTCGGGGATTATAGCTCTAGGGGGAGGGAGGCGAGAGAAATAGCCTCCTTCCAAACCGTCCCCCGCCCCCTAAGTAGATTTGACACTCATCTAAGATGGCCGCCTGCAACGCAAAGTCTTCGATCTCGACAGTCTTACGGAAAAATAGGGGACTGTGAACAGTCTAATCTGATTTATGCGAAAATGTTCGTATTTTCGCGCTGATGAATGTATCTTCGCACTATTGCTCGCCGTTTCACGCAAATGATTGCGTATTTTCTGGTAATAAACAGCAAAAGGTGTACTTGTTGTAAGAACTGGGTTAAGTCCCGGGTGTCTACATTGAGCCAATGTTCATCTTATTTCAGCAGCAACTCAAGATCGACCTGTCCGCCATAATCCAGAAAACAGCAATGCATCACAAGAACCCAATGGTAAGTGCCGTGGAGTTAAGAGGTGAAAGGTCAAAAATTGTTGGAAGCTGAAAGGTTTATGTTTACATGCTTCTAAGCAACCCATGTTTAAATGTAGTATGTCAAGTCATTTATCTCATGAAGTGTTCTTTGTTGTAGGTACACCGGGACAATTGCCAAAGTATAGGGTTACAATAATTGGTCATCCGCGTAATGTGATGATAGGAGATCACAACACATTAGACACGAGGGTTCCGCCTAGAAATGGTAATAATTTGTTTACAAAAGTCCGGAAAAAGAGGATTAATGCACCTTTCGGTTGTTTTGAGCAGGTTATTCTTTTCAATAAATTGGAGAGCAGGTCGCGGAGGTGGAACAGGAGTTCATTATTACGAATAATGGCCGGCTTGTTCTAAAACAATGGAAAGGTGCATTAAATCGACCTCGGAGCTCTGGTATTATCCTACATAAGTTGGTAAGCCACTGGATAGATTACAAACGGTAATTAGGACAGAAAGAAGTAACGGTCACTCTTAATAGATGTTTACTAGTTTTAGCTGTTGAGTTTTCTACCAAAACCACTACAGAGACAAACACTGTATTGTCTTGAAAGAACTTGACAATCAGTTTCGCGTCTTTAAGAAATGAAAAAGAAAAAGAAAAGAAAGCGTTCAATGGTTTAGTACATGAAATGTTTCTTACGGGGTGTTTGCATGGATGGAGGAAGATCCTAGTACCAAGAAGATCCAAGAAGGCGGAATAACTTTTCGTTCGGTTTACATGCAGAAATTTGGGTCCGCGAAGGAATTAAGGATTGAAGATTACCTATTCAACGACCCGCCGTTCTGTTTGTCCCTAGTACTAGGATCTTTCTAGCGAAGGCAGTTTACATGGTGCTAGAATCTTCCTACATTCTAGGTTAGGAAGATCCTAGTGCCAGGAAGATCCTAGCGCTAAGTACAAGTACAAATTTTTGCATGTAAACTAAATACAGAAAACACGGCGCTCGGATGATCCGCCCTCTACTGATTTTCCTGCTGCTAGGATCTTTCTCTCTCTATTTAAACAACCCCTTATTAGATAACTAAAACCATCTTGTGATGTCCAATTCAATTGGAGCCAAACTATTTGTGTTACATTCCAGAATAATTATGTAAATCTTCAGCGAACTATGTGATAATCTGATAATCTTACAGTCTATTCTAATCATTTCGAACTTGGTAATGGTGTCATGATGACTCCGAAACGTTGGTTTTTAATTATGTATTACTAAACCTCTGCTTATATGTACTTTTCAACATTTTTTACTATTTCCCCACTTATGTAGCGCTGCTATTAGATATTGATGGACTTTTATTTTTTGGTTTATAGTACCGCCGTCTGCACCTGATGGGGTATCGGGCGGTGAAACAACACAAAGTAATGGTAAGTTTAGGGTTGACACCGCCACTAGTGGTGCATAAGAACAAGGCTCAAATTT